TTTTAAAATTAAAACTGATACGAACTAATCTTTTAAAATTATATGTAAAATAATAATTGAACTTATAGTACTTATTAAACACCCACTTTAAAATAGAAGAACCAAGTCAACTAACTAATTAAGGGAGATATGCTTAAATTCAAGCGGGTTTAATTCTAGAAATTACGACATTGGACTCAAATTTTGGCTGATGAATAACTCTAATCCAATACCAAGCATTTTCAGAAGGGCGACAAGCCACCAACTCATCATTAAATAATTACATGAATAACAGAGGTAACTAATGAAAATAAACCATCCCACCAAAGATTAAACAAAAAAATACTAATAAAAATTACAGTAAGTAGAAGAATTGCAAAGATAAAGGTATCAAGCCAACAAGATTGAAGACAAAATCTTTAGTAAATATAGATTTTCAGCAATACAAACAGATTAGGGAACCAGAAATTTTTGTTTTCTCAGTACTAGGACTTGGCATCAAGAGAAAAATCTAGTTTGTTCTTGGTGTGGCCCATTCAACCCGAAGGATGAGATTGTCATAACCATACCCATTCAGTTTATTGATGGCTCTCTGGGCATCTTCTTTGTTAACAAAATTGACAAAACCAAAACCCCTGCTCGTGCCAGTCTTCTGGTCAATGGCGACGTAAACTCGGCTTACAGCACCAAATGGACGGAAAAGCTCATGCAAATCAGGTTCTCTAGTGTCCTCGGAAAGGTTGGTGACACGGACTGAGTTCTCATCATTCCGGCGTCTCATGTCTGTTCCGCTTCTCTCAGCTCCAGCTCTCATGCCTGGAGGAACATACGTACTCTTGCCTGGGCCAGAAGCAGCAGCAGCAGCAGCAGCAGTTTCAGATGCTGCAGGCTTGTCAATAAATCCCTCGACTGGTGGAGCAAGGTCCTTGTAAGGGCACCTTGATGTCCAGTGGTCACCCTTCTTACCACAAGTCCTACAAACCATGAGCACTGCTCCCCCTTTCCCGAGTTGAGCCAAAGAATCTCCTGCAACCTTGGTTTCTTCTGGTTTGCTACCTGTACAGACAGCTCCAAAGTTTAAAATCATACTCCTTATCAGCAGATAACAAAACAAACAAGGTCTCTTTTCCAGACTGCTCCAGTCAAATAATAGCATAATATCAAGAAGCTTAAAGAAGAAACAAAAGATGAAAAGAAAAAAACAAATCCATGTTATGTACCGTGCAAAATAACAGAGCATAAGCAAATGCAGTGAGTTTGTTCATTGTCGAGTTGATGAATGGCACATAGCATTGCACTTTTAAGATGATATACATATATTGCTCCATTGGGTACACGGTACAGGTAAAAAAAAAAAGAGATATAACATATTTCCCTCTCATCTGAGTCATCTCCATGCACCCCCATCCAAAAAAATTAATAATAATAAAGAAAAAGAGAAATGACCTAGAATAAATACGATTTCAAAGATGAGTACGGGAGTTTCTAATTTACCATGGATCTTTTATCTTTAGTTCCTCAATAAATTTCTTGCGATAATTAACCATATCTTGGATGTCGGCCTGATAAATATCAAGGCCTCCTATACTTCTGAATGGTAATTGTGGAACGAAAGCAAGATGCTAAGAAAGACTATGCATTTAGTTTTCATTAGCTCAGACTTCATAAGAACAAAACGGGAAGAATAGTACAAAACCCTCACTCCAAAAATACTTGCAGAAGAAACATCAGCCATAATCAATTTCAAAGAACAGTTCACTTATTCTTTTAGTCTACCAAACCCAACACTTATTCTTTAAGTCCATTAAAGCAGATTGACGCCTCATAGACATTTCTAATCAAGCAAAATTATGATATACCCACGCATCAATGTCGAAATTAACATAAGCGAAGCACTAAATTCAGAATTTTTAGAAAAAATACAACGCAAATATGCATCATTCTTCAACAACTCAAAACCCCTGGAATTAAAAGGAATGAAAATTCAGATCATGGAAAAGGACCGTATGCATGTTTACTATATCTATATAAAGATGATGATACAAACCAGGTGCTCTCGGACGCTCCAGTAGGATCTCCTCGGTGGAGACCATGGTAAGGCGGCTGCCAACATCCTCGCGGACGGCGTCACCAAACTTGGGCCACGAGCGGCGCTCAATGGCCCGTTTGCTAAGCCGGGCGTTCGCAAGCTTCCTGACGCGCGTCGTTGTGGTGATTTTGACCTTATTTCCCTCGTCGTTGAACTTGTATTCTATGACTTTCTTGATCCCGTTCTCATCAGGCCCTATCACCTGACGAGGCGGCAGGAGAAAGTCGAGATCCTCCCCATCGTCCTCTTCGAGTTCACCCCACCGGAGCTTCGGCTGCTGCGTCGGAATCTGAGTTGCACCGGTCGCCATGATTTGGGTGTGCGCGCGAGTGTCAGGAGAAGAAGTTGGGAGTTAGGGATTTAGAAGATGTAGGAGTTACAAAAGGAGAGAACGAGGCGGTGCTACCAATTTTCTCGACACGACGACGTTTCAATCCTTCTATGGGCTTTTATGGACAGATTTGTTGGCCAAGGCCCATGAGGCTTGATCCATTCCGTTTGATTTGGATCGGGAAGAATGAAAAGGAGTGATAAGGAGTTAAGAACCAGAAATATTTATTTTATTTTATTTTTGGAGAAAGGCAAGTAAACTTTGCACTCCAATTTCCAAATTTTGCCGATTGCCCCATCAAATGGAAAGACCCGAAATTTCAGGCCCAACTAAAGTCAACTGCTCCCGATGGTCTGATTTTCAGGGCGAAGGAGTGGAAAAATGTATTTTTTGAAAGGACAAAAGTGCAATTCTTTTGCAAAATTATTGTATTAAAGTAAATTGTTGCCTTAAAAAATTGTTGATATAATTTATCACTTAAAATTTTTATTTTAAAGAAATTAGTTCAAATTTAATAATTATAATTAACTTTTCATTAGATTTCAGGAATAATAGTTTAACAAAAACTATTAAATTTGAATTAATTTCTTGAAAATGTAATTTTGAGGTAGGGATTTGCTACAACCTTTTTTCTTAGATGACAATTTGCTTTAACACCAAAATATTGGCGGGTAATTTGCACATTTGGCAAAAACTTGATCGCTTTTATTACAATGGTAATATTTTTTGGTGGAACTAAGATCCAAGATGAAATTCAAGATGTAGCTAAGACCTGAATAATGGTTGTCTTTTAGTTGAAACCCAGAATCAAAAGAAAGAAAGAAAAAACAACAACATGGTATTGAGATGTATAACACCTAATTGTTAAGGTATAACTTATACGAGTTTTTATGATTTTATGGTTTAAAATTATAATATAAATTGTATTATGTTTTATTTTGTTAGTAAAAAAAAAAATCTATTGTTCTAATTTCAACTTTTCCATCGTTGTTATGGAGAGTTAATTTTTTTGAACAAAGGTAAATTTTATTTATTTAAGAGAACGTCAATAACATCAAGTCTAAGGGTGGGCAAAAATTGGTTTTGGTTAAAATTGAAATCGTTTTTAAAATAATTGAAATTTTTTTTTCAATTTTGAAAATTAAAATTGAACCAAAATTTTTACAAATTGATCAATTTAGTTACCAATAAAATCGGTTTTGGTTTCGATTTTTATCAAATAAATATTAATCAATTGTTTTTTAATAATAAATTATATTTTATCATATTTTATCATATTTATCATAATTTTGGTTTTCAAAAGCTTATTTTCAGTTTTTGATTTTTGAAAAATTCAACCAAAACCAAACAAAAAATTACTTGATTAATATCAAAACCGAAACAGTAAAAATCAAAAACCATTCAAATCGAACCGAATTCATTTTTTGGTTCGGTTTCCAAATGCCCAGCCCTAATCAAGTCATTAAGTAGAAGGGCTTATTCTATAAAAATAAAAAAGTATAGGGGTTTATCGACCAGTTCTACCATTTTACAGACAAGGAAGGGAGAAGGGAAAAGTAACAGAAACTGTATGGAAAAATTTTTCACTCGCCAATATTAAACTTGAAGTACAATTGTCCTTGTCTTTCCCAAATACAACAAAAGGGGAAAAAAAAGAACTCAAATCCAAATTCAAATACACATGATTCTCACTCTTGATACAAGAAAAATGAGACGGATAATGAAAAAACAAGCAGAACAAGGGGAAATTAAATACTGCCAACAAACTTTGAACTGCAGCATATACAGATCAGCAACCATCCCCACCGCCACCGCCGCCATGAGAACTGCCGCAACCACTCCCTTCCATAGCAGAAACACTAACCGCAGTAGCAGTCACCACTGCAGCAGCCATGGCAGCGCCCCCAGCATCAAAGCTGCTGGTCGTGTTAGATCCACCATGATCCTGACCTGGCTCAGTAGCAGCCCCTGAAACTGCCCTGTTTCTGCCACTCCGATTAGATCTTTTATGAGAAGAACTCTCCGATTCCTCTTCGTGCTTGTCTGCTCTCGCCCGGAAGCAAAAACATATGCTTTTGCACTTCATCATCACTGCATCATCAGTGGCTAAAAATTGGCCATAGTTTATATATAGTATGAGCAATACAAGAACTTGTGTTCCATGCTTAAATATCCTCTCTCTTTTTTTTTCTTTTCTTTTTTTTTCTCTTTTTTTCTTTTCATGGTTTGCTTAGTCTGCAAGACTTTAATAAAAAGTTAGAAACAGCAAATCAGTATGAAAATAATCATTCCTGATTGTCCCCTTTATTTTCTTTTCTTTCTACTTAGGTCCATCACTTTTTTCACCAATTGTTTTCCAGATTCCTGTTCGTATGATACCATTGGAGGGATATTCCCCGCCTCATGCCTAAACTCATACTACATTTTTTTAAATAGTCAAACCTCTTATTTGTATTTTATATATTATTATTTTATAGTTAATATTTTTTATATTTTTTATTTTTAATCAATATCTTTCATCATTTAAAATCTATAAAAAACCTCAATTTACTAATAAATCTATAAAAAACCTCAATTTACTAATAAAGTTAAAGTGTAAATAAGAGATTTGATTGTTAGTTTTTAGATTTATTACAAAATTTAAATTATA